TTCCATCTTGTGCTTTTTTTTATTTTCTTGGCTCCTGGCTTTCCTTCCCCGTGCTATACCTCCCTGCCCCCTCCTTCTCCTCTCGCTCTTTCCTGTAACTCTAGCTTAGTAGAGGCTGAGGTAAGAATGAGGGCGCTTTCTGCAGAGAGGCCCCTGTGACTTCAGGAGGTAATTGAAACCATAGGCTTGGGTGGACTGGGGGGAAGGCTGGGGCGGGAGAGTGAGCTTAAGCTCCTAAAAAAAAAAATCAAAGAGAGTTTGGAGATGGGAATCAAGGCCTGGAGGCTGATATAAGCAGCACAAGGTAGGAGGGGAGAGGTCTACACCTGCTCTTAGGGTATTAGTGCTCCCAGGGGGCATGCAAAAAGGCCCGCTGGAGGTACAAACCAAAACTTAGAGGCACGGAGGAACTGCAATGTGACTATAAAGTGCGCCTTCCGTCCCAAGATCTACTCTACAATGGCAAAATCTACAACAGCTTTTTGTATCTAACGTAACAAAATGTACCATTAAAAAAACAAAAGTCTTGCTCAATCATATTTTTTTAACAGTCTTAAGGTCGGAATTACAAAAACGACATAACTTGTATCGTAGCAATAGGTCGGCAAATAGCAAACACAAGCCAATGTACCGGTACATAAACTGTACAGAAGAAGATCCTAAACACAAGCCAATGTACCGGTACATAAACTGTTTCGAAGAAGATCCTAAACACAAGCCAATGTACCGGTATATAAACTGTTTCGAAGAAGATCCTAAACACAAGGCAATGTACCGGTACATAAACTGTTCAGAAGAAGATCCTAAACACAAGCCAATGTACCGGTATATAAACTGTTTCGAAGAAGATCCTAAACACAAGGCAATGTACCAGTACATAAACTGTTCAGAAGAAGATCCTAAACACAAGCCAATGTACCGGTACATAAACTGTACAGAAGAAGATCCTAAACACAAGCCAATGTACCGGTACATAAACTGTTTCGAAGAAGATCCTAAACACAAGCCAATGTACCGGTATATAAACTGTTTCGAAGAAGATCCTAAACACAAGGCAATGTACCGGTACATAAACTGTTCAGAAGAAGATCCTAAACACATGCCAATGTACCGGTACATAAACTGTACAGAAGAAGATCCTAAACAGAAGGCAATGTACCGGTACATAAACTGTTCAGAAGAAGATCCTAAACACAAGCCAATGTACTGGTACATAAACTGTACAGAAGAAGATCCTAAACACAAGCCAATGTACCGGTACATAAACTGTTCAGAAGAAGATCCTAAGCA